CAGAGTTACACCTTCTCAGGGCTTCCAAGGGAGCTGAGGGTCTGGGCTGGGGAAATGAGGATGGGAGGGGTGCACAGGTGCTGAGAGAGCACCCAGCCCACTTTGTGGGGAGGTATCATTAAGGTCAGAGGGTTCTGGAAGTGGGAGTGTAAGAGCAAGTGGCCCCAGAGGAAAGGATGGGACATTAGACAGTAGGGCGACTTGGAGTCAGTGTTTCAGGGGTTGTACAGTGAGTGATCATGACGTTGGAGTAAAGAGGGCAGGAGGAGGGGAGAACAACACGGAACTAATGCGGGTAAGGGACCAAGATCCCTACCCACTATCCCCCGGCACAGCCCACCCACCGTTCACATGGAGGTTGTGGTCTCAAAGCACGGAAGGGTGTGTCGAGGGGCAGGGCAAATGACAGGAGCGTCGTGTGAAGGTGGCAATGGCTAGAAAAGGTAAAAGAAGCCCAAAAGATTCCCCACAGCTGAAGAAATAAAGAAAACCATGTGAGGGCTTTCTTTTTTTTTTTTTTTTCTTTGGTCAGGGGGGAAGGCTGAGCTGTTATTTGAAGTTAAAATGCCAAAAAATAACTTCTCTAGGTGGGAATGTAGATTAGAGCAGCCACTATGGAAAACAGTATGAAAGTTCCTCAAAAAACTTAAAAATAGAACTACCATATGATCCAGCAATCCCACTTTTGGGTATTTATCTGAAGGGAAATGAAAACAGGATCTCGAAAAGATGTCTGCACTCCCATGTTTATTGAAGCATTATTTACAGTAGCCGAGATATGAAAACAGCCTATGTGTCCATCAGTGGATGAATGGATAAAGATGTGGCATATAGGGGCGCCTTGGTAGCTCAATCAGTTAAGCATCTGACTCTTGATTTCGGCTCAGGTCATGATCTCAGGGTCGTGAGATGGAGCCCCAAGTCAGGCTCCATGTTCGATGGGGAGTCTGCTTGAGATTCTCTTGCTCCCTCTCCCTCTGTCCCTCCCCTTGTTCTCTCTCTCTCTCTCAAATAAATAAACAGCTCTTAAAAAAAAAGATGTAGTATATACATGCAGTGGAATATTATTCAGCCGTGAGAAGGAAGGAAATCCTGACCTTTGGGACAACACGGTTGGACCTTGAGGGCATTATGCTAAGTGAAGACAGTGTCATAGAAACAGAGCAGAAAAGTGGTTGCCCAGGAGCTGGGGGTGGGGGGGTAGGGTGGGAATTGGGAAACATTGGTAAAAGGGTACAAATTTTCAGCTACAAAATGAGTAAGTTTCAAGGATCTAATGTAAAACATGGTGATTATAGTTAATAACTCTATACTGTATAATTGAAATTTGCAAAGAGAGTAGAATTTAAATGTTCTCCCCACCAAAAAAAAGAGATCAATATGTCAGGTGACAGACGTGTTAATGAACGAGGTGGTGGGAACCCCTTTACAACATATACACACATAAGATCATACAATGTATACAGCTTTGTCAGTTAATACCTCAATAATAAAAGAAAAAACTAAACTGTGAAAAAAAATGTGCAGAAAAAAAACTGAGTGAACAAAAAAGCAGGAAAGTAACCTCCAATCTCGGAAAGCAACTGGATGATATAGTTGCCTGATGGTCTAGATGGTGGGAGGCTTGTTCATACTTCACTTCTTCACAGCATTTACATTAATTTCTCCAAGAGGCATTCCCACGCTTTTTCTGTATGTCTTCAGTTCTTGGCTTTGCTTTATCTTTCCTCATAGTTTCCTGATTATCTCATGCTCAGGGATGCTGATAAGACACACTCTTAATTTTCCCAGGATGACATTTAAAATGACTTCATGATGAATCTCCCAAGACCTCTCTGAAAATCTCAACTGTGACTCATGGCTCCAAATTTTAGTGCTGAGGACGAAGATGATAATGCAGAGCATTTTGTTTGTTCCGGGCTGTTAAAATATGAAAAACAATTAACTTTGACCTCCTTTCCACAAGTCTCTTAGGGTTGTTGAAATTGTGTGTGTTTGTAAGTTTTGAGTAGAAAACTATAGGAACATTGTATGATCTGTTACTCTCAGCTACAAGAAGGGCAAACTATCTCTGCTGAAAATTGCCAGTGTCATTTTTCCTAATGAGGTGATATTGTTCTTCTTACCACAGTATTAAACAACATATTATATACCTAAAATATGGAATCAAAAAGAGCCTAGTAGTTCAAAAAAATGCCACCAGTGGCAACTAATTGAATGCAGAATCTCAACATCATGGCAGTCCTACAAAAGTTAAAACTATGTTTTTTAATAAATCAAGTCTAGATGGTAAAACAGGTTAAAATATGCATAAAAAAAGGAAGCAGAATCCTAAAGACTGAGCAGTAGTGTGCACGGGTAAAATGCAGCCTCATCATGTCTGGATCACCTTCATCCAATTGTAACTACGGATGCAGCCCATTCATCTCAAACAGATGCAGGATGCAGGATGCAGGATGGAGAAACATGGGGTTAGCTGGCTCAAAATCAAACAATTCTCTGCACTCTACAGGAGGAAAGTGGAAATTGATCATTTGCTTGTTTGTTTATTCGTTTGTTTTTAAATATTACCGATGGCAAATTTCTCAGATGAGCCTTTGAACTTGGAATCGATTACCCCACTTATAACAAACTGCTTCTATTAGAGCCATGACAGAGAAAATAATTTTTTCAAGAAGGAACATGAAGTGTTTGTTTCTCTGATTTGATAACAAATGGAGATCATTTGGCCTTTTTTTAAAAAGAGACTTATGTTGTTTGATATCTATTTACAGGTTTGTATGAAAAATCATGAAATTCTTATCGCTGCCAGTTGTATTTAAGTTACATCAGCAATGGAGAAATCGTATTGGGCATTTCTGTAGATATGCTTTAATTAGAGATACTTTTAAAATTAAGGAGAGCACCCCAAAAATAAACCATCTATATTGTATAATATAGCTAAATGAGTCCTTTAGCACTGTTAGCATCCTGAGAGCTATTTTTTTTTTTTTTATCTTTTGGAATAACGTCATTATACATTGCCTATATGCAGATAACGGTTTTATTGTGTCAATATTACAATTATGATTTATGAATTCAGTTTAGGCAGAATTGTTGACTTTCTTTAAAGCTTTATGTCTCATTAACCTGAGTCTTAAAAATACTTTCCAAGCTAAACATATTGAGTAATCGATAGACAAATCAAATTAACAACCTTATCTTTTCCATATGGAATTCTAGTTAGTTTTAAAAAGCCATTAAATTTATCATTCTAATAAAAAAAGAGCTGAAAAAATATGCACACCTTTAGGTGGCTATTTAAATTACTAGATTTGGGGTATATTTTCCTCACATATTGATTCTAGCTTTCCCTGCCAGCTCTTCTGTACGTCTTTGAGCAATTACCTATGACTTAATATAGGCTGATGCATTCATAATGAATTGCAGCATCTCATTATCCTACTGGAAAAAAATGTTTTCCCAGATGTAGGCATTTGTCAAAATTGAGCAAATATACAATTATGACTTACACATTTCACATTTCATGTAAATTTTATATAAAACTATAAACAAATGTTGAAATCTAGCTAATGATATGCATGCAGAGTATTTAGGAAGATGTATTTACGGCAACTTACTTTGAAATACATAAAAATAGGTTGATGGAAAGATAGATGGTACATGTCCGGATACTTGATGAAGTAAAACGTTAATAGCAGAAAATAGAGTTAGGCTCTGAGGGGCTTCATTAGAAAAGTATTTAAACTTTGCTGAATGTTTGAAAACTTTCAAAATAAAATGTAAGTGGGGGGGAAACCAAGTTTCTAATGCTTCTGCTGTGTTAAATAGCCTTGTTTTCACTGACATCCTGTGCTTCGTAAGCCCTGTCCACTATTTCTATAACACACTGACCAAATCTGGCCATTTCTCCTCACCTCCCCCCATCCAATCTACCTACCTCTAGGTACCATCATCTCTCACTGGATGACCCCCAACTGGTCTCCTTACTCCTGCCCTTGGCTGCCTAGATTCTCCTCCTACAGAGCAGCTAGAGAGAACTTTTAGGAACATAAATCAGATTGCATCTGCACAATTGCAAATAACATGTCCTTTAAGTCAAGGGATGATTTACAGCTCTCACGTGCAATTTCTACAAAAAAGCATCTGGAAAAGCTGTTGGCTTGTTAGCTGATGATAACCCACAGAGACACTTCCTGGTTGTGGGGTTTGATTTGCTTGTATGATCTTAATATGAAAATTGAAATGAAAGAGTTGCTTTTCCAAAGGATACAAATACATTGAAATATGTTTCCTAACTGAGGTACAGGAGATCTATATACATTTTGGGTACTAGTTCTTTGTAGCTTATGTGCATCACAAAGCTCTTCTCTAGCCTGAACTTGTTGTTTTACTCTCTGAATGGTGTATTTTAATAATAAACTTTCTTAATTCGAATATTATCCATCGTTATACTTTATGGTAACTAATTATCATGACCTGTTTAAGGAATCTTTGCCCAAAATCATGAGAATATTCTAGAAGACTCGTTGTTTTACTTTTTCACTTTTAGATCCATAATTCACTTGGAACCGATTTTGTCTGTAGTGTGGGATAAAGGCCAATATTCTTTTTTTAAAAATCTATATGGACATATAATTGATAAGGACCCACGTATTGAAAAAAAATCATCCTTCATCTATTGTTCTCAAGGAGCATCTTTGTTGTTTGTGCGTGGTGTGTGTGTGCATGTGTGCGTGTGTGTGATATCTTGGATTCTATTCTCTTGTCTACATCAATGTCATATCATTTTATTTATACTAACCTTTTACTAAGTCTTGCTATTTATTAAGTATTGCGATTTTATTTTTATTTGTGCAGACATCTTAGCTTTCCCAGGTCCATCACATTTTCACATAATTTAAATCAATTTCTATTTTTAAAAAATTGCTTCTTTTCTTTTGTTGTATTTAGTGTTATGGTCTAGCTTTTTATGTAGTTGTCTTACTTCCTTTTCCTTTTTGTTTTTTAGTGAGTGTGTTTGTAATTATAAATGTCCCACTGCGTTCTGCTTTGACAACATTCTGAAGATTTCCAGAAGTAGTGTTCTAATTTTTGTTCATTTATAAGTCATTTTTAACTCGTCATTTGAATCTCTCTTGAAAAAGGAGCTATTTTGAAATGTATGTTTATAAATTTCAGAATATTATTTTCCTACGTTTTTATTATAATCAAGCTTTATTGCATATGACCTAGTGATGGTAGCCTGTGAAATTTTCTGCTCTTTTGGATTGCAAGAAAGATATGTGATCATTTTTTCAACAATCCATGGGTATGTGAGTAAACTTTGTTCTTACATTACCGAATATAATATATGTGCTATTTGCTTACTCAGGTAGAATTGTTTTTCAAATCCTCAGTATTCTCAGTATGTTTGCATAATTTATTAACCTGAGTTTCCAAGATAGGTTGTACTTTTGTCAAATTTTCCTTGTAGTTCCCTTAAATTTTGACTTCAATGTTTTAGTCCTATGCTAGTAACTGAATAAAGTTAATGAATGATACAATTTTTTGTAATGTTGTTATTTTAGTAAGTATAAAATATGCTTTTTCTTTTAGATCTTGAATTAGGGTCTGTCTGAGAATAACATTGCCAGATTTGTTTTCTTTTGCTTTTTATTTGTTTTTTATTTATCCTTTCTTTTTATCTTATGTTTATGGAGCAGATATAGAATTTTGTCATTCTGCAATCTTCATTAATCATAAAAAAGTAAACATAAGTTAATGATTACCAACATAAACCAACATTTTTTAAAACAAAAGCTATGAAATGACATAGAAGCAATGTAGTCAAGATTTTGTTTTCATTCATTCATTCAAATGGAAGTATCCTAGCCAATCATTATCATGACAATGCTTTTATATTACCTTTCATTGTTCAAAGCAAGGTGCCAGAAACGTGTGCTAATTCAGATACATTATTGGTAGATCCATTGTCAGGTAGATCTCTAATATATGACTATTGAGAGTAATAAAAAAGATGGGAATGGGGATGACTGGGTGGCTCAGTCGGTTAAGTGTCTGCCTTCAGCTCAGGTCATGATTTCAGGGTCCTGGGATAGAGTCCTGCATCAGGCTCCTTGCTCAGCGGGGAGCCTGCTTCTCCCTCTGTCTGCCATTCTCTCTGCTTGTGCTCTCTCTCTCTCTCTCTGACAAATAAATAAAATCCTTTAAAAAAAAGATAGGAATGGTTGGCATTTTTAATTGTGTCTATCTGATAGCATGCATGTTTCATAAAGTCAAATAAAATTTTTCTACTGAAAAAGAGTAAGAAATTACCATTTTTGAAAAATAGAGTGGAAATGATAAGGAAACCATTTTTTGGTCACTTAGAAATGAAAAACAAGAGTCATGAGAGAGAAAAGTACGAACATTATGAATTTGGTTCAATAAACACAAGGCTGAACATTTTCCGTTTTCTTGGGTTTTCAGTGACTCTCCGGGAAGAGAACAGACGGGTGAGTGTGTGGTATGAGGTAAATGCACGGCAGGTGCCCAGGCCACGTGTCTACTCCCCCAATGAGCTAAATGCAGGTAAATGCAGGTACTGACTGGCTGTGAGTCAATGAGTTCATAAGGTAAGGAGCCAAACAAAGGTCACACAGTTTGACATAGAGGACAGTCTGGCAGCTGTTGAGATTTTAGAAATGATATAGTAACCATACCTAAAGGAAAAGTTAGAACACTGTTTTTGAGACCTGCTTAGCTTCTTTATGATCCTGGGCATACAAATGCACCCACAGACTTTCTTTTATGACTTCTGTGACTTTTTTCTTTGAACTTACAGGTGTGGTTATAGTGCTCACTTCCCAGGCCTCTCTGCATATAGCATTGGACCAGCAAGTTTCTCCTAGAACATTCTTCATCTGATCCTTTGGTAG